ATCTCTCCAACTGCCCCACTTTGTTACCTTTCCCCTTTATAGTAATTCCTCATACTCTGTGTAATATGTCCTCAAAATCTGCTCTCCTACTGCAACCACATTTTGCTGTTCACATATGTAAGGGCAAAACAAGTTATTCAATTTTGCCTACACTTCTGTGTCTGTTATTTCATCAGAAGGCCCTGATCTTTCCTAGGATATGTTTACAAACTCAGTATAAGTAATGAAAAATAATAATTGCAGTTGCTTTGTCATCTTGAATAAATCACTTTGACAAGAAGTCAGGAACGTTACTTATTTCATCAGAGTAGATTGCAGTCAGTCTCACTGAGTGGATGTTCATGTTTTGAGGATCTCTGCTGAAACTCGCTGTTATAGTTAGGTAACAAGTAAGCTATTTTATAGCTGAGGCTGCCAGTTCTGTTTTTACTCAAGGAAGTGGCAGAAACACTTGGCTTAGCACAGTGTTCAGAAAAGTTTGGGTATGTCAAGTGAATTATACCTGTTACAGCTGCTCAACCTATTCCCTGTGGTTGTAGTTTCAGTGCAGTGAAAATAACTGCAACCAAGGTTCATTTGGGAAGGTGCTGGTAACTCAAAAATACACGCCCTTGCTATCTGCACCTACCCAAGATGGTTCTCTAGGGTAAGAAAGCTAGGAATGTAGTAATGAGAGTAACAGCTCTGGCCAGAAGCTGCTGTCGGCTCCAAACCCACTTAAGGCTATTGCAAAGGTCAGGTAGAATAAGCATCTAAACTGACATTTTGGCTAGGGGCACCAGAATGTCTTGCTATAGCTTTGGTTAAAATTGATGCAGACCAGCATGTCACTTTTAATTTGATGTAGCCTATAATTGAAAAGATCTGATGTGATCAAATGATGAATTTCAGTTTCAAGAGGTCACAATGTATCTTCTTTACTTGGTCTGGGTAAAGCTTTGCCCTGGAAGAAGTTGCATTGGAATCAGCAGGCACTTTTCAGAGGAGAGGCTATTCAAAAAAGTGCATCTTGTCAAGACAGTGGCTTTTTGTAAGTGTGGTGTTGCTATACAAGCCCTGAAAATCAACAGTATCCAGCTGTCTTCCCCACCACCTCCTTTTGCCTACCATAGGCAGAGCAATCTGGTTCTTCCTGTTTCTTACTGGAGTGTCCTGGGCTGGGACCTAGGAACATGTATCTTGTACATACTGTACTGCTGCAACATGGGGAGTTTGCAGGGATAGAACTGTCTTTGTTATTTTACTGTAGGCAACAGGTGCAGTCAGTAGGCTGTGTGCCACATGCTTCTTTCTTTCCTTCTTTATCCCCCTTATTCTTCTTGTGCCTGCATTTACCCGTTTTCCTTCCAGTTTAATGGTTTTATTAGGCAGCAGCATTAGAAGGTGCTTGGGAGCAGATTAGTAAACAAAACAAGCAAAACACAAACCTAGTTGAAAATTGCCCTTTGTATAGGCAGTACAAACAGCAGAGATATGGATGGGTGTTAATGCCAATCCCTAATGCATCCTTATTATGCTGCTTTCAGGGCTGGGGGATTGTTGACAAAGGAAAGAAATAAATTGCTGTTTATAAAGGTCATAGGTGATACCATGGTAACACAGCAATAATTTTTAAATGAGGAATATTAAAGTAATAGGCATCAATACTTAATCATTACTTCTGGTGTTAGTCACCTGGCCTTGCTCTGCTCTCTTTGTGTGGGTTCTTCTGAGCGTTTGTTTTCCCTCCTGCTGATGTTGCTTGAACAGCACCACAAAATGCTGGGGCAGGACTTTGGAGCAAGTTAGCCAAAAGGGTCTGTGGGCCAGGTGAGATGTTGTGTAGGAGGTCTTATTATTCAGGTACCTAGAAGTGGTTGAGGCCAATACTTCATGCTGCAGATGACACTGTGGGAGAGAGTACTCCAAGGATGGGTTCTCCAATGCCCCCTCAATCCCCTGCTGTGGGAAAAAAAGATTGAATGTGTTGCAGGGCTTCATGGGATCTTGACATAAAAAGCATCGGGTTTCTGAAAGATTCATGTGATTTTGCATACTGTTAACTTGCACCACTTGGTGCTTGGAAAAGAGGAGGGAGAAAAATACAATAGAATGAATAAGGGGGAAGAGCCTTAAGAAAGTAACGCTGCCTCCAAGAACCTTAAATGCATCTCAGGAGAGCCTAACAGGATCATAAGGATAAGGAAAATTGCCTTTTTTTCCTTTTTAATGATTGTTGCCTTAATGGTCTCTGCAGTTTAGCCTATATTTGAGGTCTTCTGCAGTGGTATTCCTACTGTTGTTTGAAGGAAGTGTTGTGGGTCAAGTGTCACACCTGGTATTGTTGAATCAAGTGTTTGCAAAATGCCTGAATGAAGGCTAGTTTCTTTAAATGCTGAAAGAGATGAGAAACAGCAGGTAGGTTCCTTGTTCAGCATGTGCAGCTCCAGGAAGCTCTCTGGTCCAGAAACTATTTACTTATTTTCTGGATAAGCATCACAGCTACCTATCCCTGTAGGCTTTCTGCCTTCAAGTCACTTAACCTGAAATCCAGTCCAGTGATTTTTCTGTGACTGCAGGAAGTCCCCAGTCCTTGGGGCTGAAAGCTAAGCAGTGTGGGCTGCTTCTCTGAGCCATAGGCACTGCTGTGTGACCACCCATCACAGGAGAGTACACATTTTACTGAACTTGCAGGAATGAGAGTGTGGCCCACCTCTTATCACTAGTAAACCAGCATAGGAGTAACTCTGGATCTGGGACTCTCTCTGTATTAACCATTAAACTGTAACAGAGTGCTTGTATTTGATCAGCATAATTTTATTAAATTAGCACTTATATGATGGACACTCTGTCCAAGGATTTCTTGAACCCTCCAAATCTGGAGAAATAACTGGGTCAGAGAAAGCCCAAATGCTCCCATGTGAACATGTTTCTTCACTTGTGGCTGCATCTTGCTGCTCCTTCCACATGTGCTTGTGGACCTCTGGGAAAAGCCAAGATAAAATCCTTCCCTACCCATAAAGTAAAAGCTATTTGATGAGCTTAGCAAACTGTTTTGTAGTGCTGCCTTTCAACTAGTAGTGCTGCCACAGCTGGGAAAGTGGCAAACTGAGGCAGAAAAGCAGAAATCAGCACACTGATGGGAGTTCTAGGAGATGAGACTCCATGTGATAGTTCTGGTCCCCAGGCCAGTTAATTGTAAAGTTAATTACCTTAATGAAAATCACCTGAGATGAGACAGAAGCCATGGCTTCAGGGAGAGCTGTTAATACCACTGGCAGTAGGAGTTCTTTAGAAGTTGTGATTCTGTCCAGAGATAAAGCCAAGGATGTAACTGTGTTCTACATCTTTGCTTAAGCCCTGTTCACATCCCACTCCTGCATAAGTGTTTTCATGAGCTGTCTTCCATTGGAAGTAAGTGCAAACACTCCTTTGTGGCTTTTAATTTGATCCACGCTCTTGTGTGGTATCTTTTTTTTCTTTTCCAGAGTGCATGATAAAAGGCTGTCAGGTAAAATTCATTCTGATTTTCAGGACATCATCAAGTAGTGCTTTTCCCATTTTGGAGCATTCATTGTCAGCAGGATAAAGGGTACTCTAAAAAGTTAGGAAGAATAATTGTTATTTCATCAGATTATGTATTAGTTCAATCAGGCTAATGCACTCTAGTATTTAGTCAAGCCCTATAATTGGAGATAGTTTAAAGCAAGCTTTTAGCTATTCATGTGTTCCAGCTCTAAGTTAATTTCACATCTAAGCCATTAAGCAACAAAACCAAACCCAACCAACCAAATCCCAAACAAAAATTAACTGATCCATAAAACCAGGCCATTGTACATTAAAGACATCTTGAAAATCAGGTTGTTTACAGAGGTAAGAGTGCATGTGTTCTTTTTCAAAAGCATGGGACTAATTTTTTCTTATTTTGTAAGATGAGTCTGAGAAGTCAGTGGTATCTTTTGCAAAACTGCCTTTTTAGTCCATGTACAACTCATTTGAGCAGTAGTCTGAACCACCTGCATTCCAGTCTACTTTATATGTACCCAGCATAAAGAAGTAAGATCTTACTTGGGGGGGTCTATAATAAGGGTCAGTGCTTTCTGAGTCATGTTAGGAAGGGCAATGGAGCTTTGAATACAATTCTTTGTTGAATACTTCCTTGCTTCTGACCAGCGATTTAAGTGCTCAGATGGCACAGAAAGAGAATGGAGATAGTGGATCAAGACTCTGCTCCCTTCATAGCCCTCTCTAGTTGTTTAGCCCTATCTGTGTATAAAAAGGGAGTGACCTGCCAGTGATCCTGCTTTCCTTCTGCCCCTGTTGTTCTTTAGGATGATTCACACTATACAAGCTACTATAGAGAAAATTAACTCTGTCCCAGCCAAAACCAGTAAAAAAAACCCTATTCTGCATTTCTGGAGCTAGTCATAGCTTGTAAGAGAAAGTCTCTACAGTTAATCATGCAAGGAAACATTTAACCTTCTTTGCTAATGGGATCTTTCTAGGAAAATATGAATGCGAATGAACAAGCTAGTGTGACCTGAGTAATCTGCTGACTGCTGGCTCTGATCTCTCACATTGGTTTTATGCATTGAAGGCAAATCAGCATAATGTATCTATTTAGCTGTGAGGGGGATTAATTTCTGATGATCAGCTTATGTTCTGAGGTACAGCAATTGGGTGTTTGTGGAACTTGTACAGCTATGTTAATCTGAGTGTCCAAGAAACTTTCATCTGCTGATTTTCTGGTTTTACACCTTGTACTGCTTTCTCCACTTAACAGTTCTTCAAAATATGCCAACTACCTCTGGTATAAGCAGCACTGTGTATATGTGTGCATATACAGTATGAAGACTTTGCCAGCTACTTAGAGGTTAGCTGCCTTTAAGCATTCTGTTATTAAATGTCCTCGCAGATAAAATACTGCATTTGTCAATGTTCACTGATGCAGAAAAACTTTTAAATCAGTCTGACTTTTAATTATTTTTATACACTTCATTTTTGTCTCCATGTTCCTTCAGGCTTCAGACTTGATTATCACCCCAGCTACGACTTTCAAGGAAAAACCAGACCCCAGTGGTTTGGTATTTGGAACTGTGTTCACTGATAATATGCTGACAATTGAATGGTCCTTGGCTTCTGGATGGGAGAAACCTTATATTAAACCACTTGAGAACCTTTCATTGCATCCAGCCTCCTCATCTCTCCATTATGCTTTAGAAGTGAGTACTGAATTGATCTGGAAACAGATATTTTGTTTTATTAGCTCTTGAAGTCATACCTTTGTAATACAAGGACTATACTGTCTGAAGTTCATTAGTATTGAGTTACATTTTGTTTTGTTAGCTGATGTCCTTCCAGACTAATTCCATTATTTAAACAAGGTTATACTTATGTTAGTGTAACTCAGAAGGAACTCCGACCAGTGGATTTCAGCTCACTTAACTTTCTGGACTAGTGAAGGTGACCCTTTCTTCATCAGGGACTGTAGTGATAGGGCAGGGGGTAATGGGTTTAAACTCAAACAGGGGAAGTTCAGGTTAAATATAAGGAAGAATTTCTTTACCATGAGGGTGGTGAGACACTGGAATGGGTTGGCCAAAGAAGTGATGAATGCTCCATCCCTGGCAGTGTTCAAGGCCACATTGCACAGAGCCTTGGGCAACATGGTCTAGTGGGAGGCGTCCTTGCCCATGGCAGTTGGGTTGGAACTTGATGACCTTAAGGTCCTTGCCAGCCCAAACCGTTCTATCATTCTATAATGCTTGCGTGGTGACAAATTCATTTGAGAACATGTTCTAGTTCACTGATGGTTACTGTCCACTTACTGTCTCTGATGTAACTTAATGAAGCAATGGAAAGAACTCTGAAATTCCAAGAGTGGCTTTAATATGGGGGCTGAACATGCACTTTGTGAGTTACTTTAAGCTGTTTTAAAGGTTCGTATCTTGGATTGCAGGACAGACTAGACAGATGCTTGTTTGCAACTCTGCACAAGTCTGGAGAGCTCCAAACTACATCTGATGTATTCAGCATATACAAGTGCATTTAAGCAGAGAACATAGAGCAAGGAATTTTGGAAAGTGAAATGTTAAGTCGGAAACCAGCGTGGTTAACAGTTTCCGTGCTTAGCTGCTTACTGGTGAAAGCTGCCTTTTGTGTCTCCAGAGGAGCTTTGGCTATACTCACATCTGTGTGAGAGCCTCAGTAGGGCACATATGCTGAAATGGAAGCCTGCTTCTCCTCCTGCTTCTGGGTAGGTGGGAGTGTCTCCACTGAAGTTAGTGGAGTTGCTTGTGCTTCTTTTATTATTTCTTTTCTTTTTCCTTCTTTTTTTTTCTTTTTTTAACCACTATCATAAGGGAAGGATCAAGCTTTTCAGCTTTTCCCTGCTCGTTGTCCCTGAGCTCCTGCCTTCACCGTTTTTTGTTGTTGCTTCTTTTTCCCCATCTGTTCACTGAGCCTCCAGAGGTCCTCTGTAAATTACAACAGGCCCCTGTGACTAAGGCTGCAGTTCTTGATCTGCCCGAGAAGTAAGAAACCACGCTGGAGTCCCGGATCTATATTTCACTCTTAGTAGCACATTGCTTTAATGCTCGCCCTCTGGCCTAGTCTGAAATCATTGCTAATATGAATATGCTCTTCTTTTTTTTTTCTCTTTTTTTTCTCTTTTTTTTATTTTTTCTTTTTTCCCCCCATTTTTTTTTTTTTTATTCTTTTACCCTGATTGCGTCACTATTCCTCTAGCCAAGAGGACAGACAGAGGAGAATCTGGTGCCAATGCTGTGGCTCAATGAATACACAGTGGGTATAATAAAAATGATGAACTTGGCATTCCATCCCCTTTCTCCTTGCCCTCCATGATGCAGTGTGGTAGTCTGGATCTGCTGAACTCCAGATCCAGCTCCTGTGATGTACAGATGTCAGATAATATTGTCTGCACACCGCTGTAGCAGCCAACCGTCAAGTAACCACAGTGATTGCTTTTATTCATGTTGAGCATTTCTGGAACACATCACTGTCTCCTTTTTTAAAGAGTGAAAGGTTTTACTGAGCTCTGGAAGGTTAAAAGTATTTCTTTTTGGAGAAAAAGATTTAACGGCTTGAGAAGGCTTTGTGTTTCAGTAATGATGTGATTCTTACTTCTCTCAAACCATTGATCAGATCTTAGTAGTAACATTCCTTTCTCTTCCCTCTCATTAAAAGTTCTGTGAATGTGTTGGGGAAAAGGGTGGAGGGAAACAACTGTTCTGTGATAAGATAGTAGCATTACAGCAATGTGATATTAGTTAATAACTGGCCCAATAAGAATCATATCAAAGTATCAATCATATAGGTACCTATGCCATCCTTTATTAAAAATATGTTTCTTTTCTTATAGCTACAGTGTCCGTACCAGGAACTGTTGCTTTTTCAAAACTGAGTACAAACCTTTTAATAAGGTTGGCACTGCTATAGGAATAAGATAAATTTTGAAGGCAAAAAGTTCTGGATTCTAATTCTTGTTCTGCTACATAGTTAGCATATAGCCTAAGGAAAACTGTCAGGATGCCTGCAACCCAGTTACAACCCAATTAAAATTTGTCATGTGGAGGGACCTAGCTTTAGCATGGGACTGCACAAAAGTTTTCTAGACATTGCACTTCACTGATCCTTCTGGGGAAATGTTATAGAATTTAATAATAATGAAATCTTGAATATTCTACTAAAATTACTTACACACAAATACAGGATTCTTTTTTCCCAAATAAAACCCCTGCACATGTAGACTTCCAACTACAAAGAATGTATTTCCAGACAATTTGTGTGAAACAGTCAGGAGGAGAAGTCTGAGGAGACTGAAAGCAGTGATGCAGTTAAATTCATAGAACTTATGCTGAAATTTAATGTACAAAGAAATGCTTTAAAAACTAAATTCTAAAATTCTGAGCTCTCGTCTATAAACATGAGTGATCTTTTAATACTTAATCTAAATAATAGCTGTATATATTTATGTTTGATGTGAACTTATACGTAGGGGGTTTTGTTTATATAACTGTATACAAAATTATAGTTTTCTGACTATAACTGGAAACTACGAATCTGTAACTGAAAATAAGTATGGATATTTTGTGGGTATATTTTTTGTTGTGGTTAGGAGATGCTGTGGAACATTCTGCTGGTAGGGACTGATGGAACAATGTTTTTGGTAAATTGATTGTCAACACCAGTCATCCGGATTGTGCAGTTTGATGGGATACTTATGACTAATTAAAGTTTCCTGTGAAGTATAGGTAAAACATTTTCATGCATTCTCCCTGTAGTGTAAGGCTGATGCATCTGTCTGTCGTGCTAGCTAAACCGCTTTCCACAGCGTAGGGTTGCGTGGGGCAACTAAGTGACAAAGATTTTGCTGCAACTGCAACAAGAACTGCAACAGAGTTCCCTTAATTACCTTATTCCATGCTTCCTACCGAAATGAATTTTTGGACACAGCCCTAAAAATGTTTAACATATGTAATTAAATTCTATAGATCTTTTCCTTAAGGGAGAATACTGATTTAGCTCAGCTTTAGGTATCAATAAGGATGTGAGTGACTAGTTAAGTCAAACACATGCTACAAATTTTAATTGCTGTAACCAAGCTGTGGAAAAAAAAATGGTTATCATTAAGTCCTCTGACAGAGAAAGATACATCTAAAGCATAGGCAGGTCACCTTTGTAATATAAATGTCATAAAACTACGTCAAAGGAGTGTGTTGCAAGCATTAACTAGTTAGCATTTATGCCTTGAGTACTGTGTACTTCTTTTATTTCCAAAGCATGTGTACTGCTGTTGCACAGATAAAATGTCTCAATTATTATTTGCTTGCTTTTCCCTCCTTTTTGGTTTGGTAGTTGTTTGAAGGAATGAAAGCTTACCGAGGAGTGGATGGCAAAATCCGCCTGTTCCGGCCAACCCTCAACATGGAGAGGATGGCACGATCAGCAAGACGAGCAACTCTGCCAGTATGTAGTCAAGGCATCTTGTTCTCCTTAAGTCAGAGCGTATTTTCATTTTCAGAATGCAAATCTCTGAAACTTTACAGTAGTGTAACATTTATCAAACGTTCTTAACTCTTGACTAGTTCAGTTAAACTTTGTTAAGAGATTTTATTCAGTGAACTATTCAAAATGCATTTTTCCTTTAAATCACCACAGTATTTTGCTTTCTCCGTTGTCTCCCTAGTGCCTCAGATATACAGTCTTTTTCTGAGGGATGAGAGCAATTCTGCAGATATTTGCATGCAGAGAGCTGATTAAATTGTTCTGGCAGTAATATTCTTCTTTTTCTTCTTTCCAATTCAGTTAAATCCTTCAGCCTCTGAGTGCTTTCATTTTTGGTCATGCTAACAACTTAACATGACTTTTAGCAACTGTATATAGGCTAATGAATTTACTCTTATGCTTATTAGCTTTATTGCTGTAATAAATTTGCAACTTTGTAAAACTGGGTGTCTCGATCCCCTCAGTGTTTTAACACAAAGCACTCTTTCTGCGGTAGGTTAGCTTGTGATGAGCCAAAGTGAAGGTGTTGGCTGCACAAGCTGTTCTTTCCATGTGCTTTGGAGGCAGGAAGGGTCAATAGTTCCTTTTTGCTATCTCAGAAGGATACTTTGTTTCAGGGGAGGACGTTCAGGATACTGCATAAAAAGGCACAGTGGCAAAGACCATGAGATCTTTAAATTCTGTAAGAAATGAACTCAAATGGTGTAGTCCTATAAACCTCTATGGACTGTCACTGTAACCTATCCTGATGAAGTGTTCCCCTTAGCATATGGATCTATAAGGACCACAGAGTGTTTAGGCTGTATTTCTCCATTTGCTTTTTGCCCTTTGCTTTTCCTTCCTAGCATTTTGACCAGAATGAGCTTCTAGAGTGCATTCGGAAGCTTGTGGAAGTGGAAAAGGAGTGGGTCCCGTACTCAACCACTGCCAGCCTTTACATCCGTCCTACCTTAATTGGAACTGAGGTAAGAAACATTTCTCTTTTTCCTTGTAACTTTTGGGTACTAAGCACGAGAGAAAAGCCTCCATCCATAAAGGGAAATACGCAGCAGTCACTAGACAACAGTATTACAGTTCAGGGGCAAATCGGTTTTATGTCTTTACTTCCGAGTTAGTCACTGGTAGCTCTATTTCACAAATTTATGTTGACCACACCACCACCTAGTGGACACATTGATTTAGATCACAGAAAGTAAACTTGATTAACTGTTCTGAGTCGTAACAGCAAAACTTAGATTAACTTTGGGTTTGTAATAAATGGATAGTTATTTGTCACATGGTAATGTATGCCTTTAAAATACTAATAATCCGAAGAAATTGTGAGGGAACAGAAATTTGTTGTGTAGATTTTGTGATTTCATCTTGTGTCTCTGTCCTGACTTTGGCGAGGAGATTTTGGAAGATTCTACCCAGTAAATTATGAATGCCTTTCTGAGAGACACTTTTAACAGCTAAAACCAATAACTTTTAACAACTAAAACCAAGTTGTTGTGTCAGTTTATTCTTGAACCCAGATAAACCTGACTTTACAAGAGTCTCCTTAGCACCTAGGTATTACTGTGTACGCTGAGTTTCACGTGGGTGTCAGTCAAGCCTGTAGTATTTATGAAGGGAATTAGAAACAGGGAATTCATTTTAATTAAAACTTTAAGGTTGAGTTCTTTTAGCAGTGGTGGAGAGAAGCCTATAATGGTAGACCATAGGGCAAAAAGGCTAAAGAATGTATGGTTTCCCGACTAGGCCAGTTACTCTTCTGCAGTATCCTCATCTGTAAGTCGGCACCATACATGTGCATTGTGCATTTCACGTATATTCTAGGACCCCTTTGATTTTAATGCTTGTGAGCTAGTTGCAGATTTTCAGATGGAAGGATCTCCACTCAGTGACTGTAAAGTGTCAACTTTAAAAATGATTCCCCCCCCCCGTTTTCTTTTTTAATTGTCTTGATGTTGAGGTTTTTTTCAGGTTAGCCAACATATCTGGCCTTTCTGCTATGTCATATGTTGTTTCCAGGTTGCATGTGCTGCTAGTCTTTGATGAGTTAGCACAATTAAGAAACCCAGTCAGCACAATCTCTTGAATGATCATGTAAGAATCAGGAAAAATATTAAGATCTCAGTTAATCATGTTAGAAGTTTTGCTGAAGGAGTAAGATATACAGAAATCAAAATAACACTGTAAGTACCTGAAGAAGGCTTATTGGAATTTTTCAGAAGTTCCTTTGTTGCACTATTATTTTTCCCTCCTACCTCCCAGATGAGCTTCACATACTTTGTGCACAGTATTTTGCTTAAATTTGGTCCTAAATATTTAAGTTCAGTAACTTTTTTTCAGTGGAGACCTAATCTTAGAAACCAAGTACAAGCTTGTTCTTTTTATGAGACTAGTTTCTCTGACTGGAGAAAAAATAGTAACCCATTCAGTTGCATAGAAGATCCCAAGAATCATGGACAACCAGCTCTTGAGGAGAGGGACTGGACAAAGATCTCAAGATCTCCAGGGCTGCCTTCCAGCCTCAGTCATTCTGTGATTCTGTGGTCAGTCCTGAGCTTTGAAAGAATCATATAGTTAAGCAAAGACCCTACCACAGTATTCAGACTCTGACCCCTGCCAGGCTTTTCATCTCCACATTCAAGTATTGATAGTGATAACTTGAAGTGTGAAAAGCCATCTCTCTGAGAGGAGGAGTAAAAAAGGTGATACATTCCAGGTTATTTCCTGTGCTGTTGTGTGAACCATTTCCAGCAGGCAAATCATTTTAACTTGTCACACAGCCATTCGAGGAGCCAGCACCCGGCTCTACAAATGCCAGTTCTAAGTGGCATTGGATAATTCTCATCAATAATGCAGCTGACAGCGGTTCCTCCACTGTTGTTATTGCTAGCAGTGGTCCTTGACACTCCTGCCCCAAGGAGGCTTTGCAAGCTTCTGCTGTGATTAATTAATATAATCATATAGACTCTTGTCAATCTAATCTCTGAATTCTCAAAAGCTTGAAACTGTTTGTGAAGATTAGAATAATATATAGATAAATGAAGCAGCTGTAAGTGAATGGTGACAGTATATAAAATTAGGGTTGTTACATTGCACGGATAAGGGGGAAATTATATAAATATTTTCTCTTCATTGCAGCACTTTGCATTGTTCTGGTAAAAGCTCTCTTGTACTGCAGTTCCTCTGAAAGCAGTGTTCAAAAGCTAATTGTGTAGTATCTGATGTTTGGAGTGAAATGTAAGAGTAACTTTTAATTTTTTTACATTCCCTTTTTTCAGCCTTCCCTTGGAGTGAAGAAGCCAACTAAAGCCCTACTGTATGTCATACTGAGCCCTGTGGGCCCTTACTTTGCAAGTGGAAGCTTTAATCCAATATCCTTATGGGCAGATCCAAAGTATGTAAGAGCCTGGAAAGGAGGAACAGGGGACTGCAAACTGGGAGCGTAAGAAAACATAATTCTACATCTTCTACATAGCTTGTAGATGAGATTTGTTTTTTAGTGAAGTATCTAATCCAGTAGAAGTACAGGTATTAAATATGACAGTTAAACAATGTACTATAACACAGATTTCAAAATTGTACTTTGAAATATGTATACAATACAGTTGCATATTTTTGTTTCCATATTACAATCAAGTGGATTACTTGCAGAGGCAATTTTGCAGCATCTCAAACTAAGACACTAGGCCTGGAAGGTGTCCATGTAATACTTTGGCTGTTCCCCTTGCAGAAGTTGACACTAAAGATATCACTCCTGTGATGTAGCATTCAGTGTAGCAGCCTGCTGCCAACTGGGCAGTGAGCAGCATTGACTGCTGACCTCCTTCCTTGGCAGACTGTCCTGACAAGCCATCTGCAGTTAGCTAGGGGAGTATGGGTGTTTAAAGGAAAGCATGAGATAATTACCTGCATCGACTTGATCATCATCTGGCAGTTTTCTGCTGAGCTAGGCCAAAGCACTAGTTATGTAGAAACGTAATTGTTAATGTCCGAGTACTTGACTTGTAGAGTTGAAGCTGCTTAGGACTACACTGGAGCAAGCAACTTGGAAGTGGCTAAATAAATTATTATATGTCCTTGGTCTTTGGTTTAAGCAAAGCTTATTGCCTCTACCTGGGAGTTTCTTTTCTAGGCAGGAAATTAGTAGCTATCAAATGCTGCTCAGTTGAGCTAGTAGAATAATAAAAGGGCAAGAAAACAGCTTTCCTTCATTCAGTCTGATGTTCTGAGAACTTTAGGTTTTGTTTGGTTTTGCTTAGTCTTAGAAATATGTTAATTGTTCCCTGTGCATCCTTTGTATGTCAGCTGTGGAAAAGAGTCTGGAGTCCCTACTGACTTGATTTGTGCCCAAAAATGAGAATGTAACTCCAATGTGGTCAGCACTTTGGGCTGCTAACTTTGGGTCTTGATGGTAACATCAGAAACTATAAAGAGTTTATTCCCTCCCTCACTACAGCTACAGAGTAGCTCAGTAGTCAGGTTCACTGTAGGCAGCATTTTGGGAAAACAATTGCTCCTTGAGGATATGGAATTCGAGGCCTGTCTGCAGCTCATGAAGCTACTAGTTCTGTGAATGTCTTTTACTAGAAAAGAAACAACTTGCCTCTGGTGATTTTTTGTGTTCCAAGAGGTTCGTCTGACATATGTGAGATGAGGTGGTTTTGTTCTGCTGTTTTTTGAGCTGGTTGGGAAGTTTTTGGGTTGTAGATACAAATAATCTAGGGAAATATTGGTAGAATACTTCTAACTAAAATATTCCAGGGACAAGCACTGACTGTGCAGAGCACTAGTTCATAAGGTAGATGTGCACAAAACCTTGCACAGAAATGAGAAAATACCCAACCAGATACTCATAACTGCTCTTTCTTTTTGTTTCTGGAAGGAATTATGGTTCTTCTGTTTATGCCCAGCAAGAAGCCCTGGAGTTTGGCTGCCAGCAGGTTTTGTGGCTGTATGGAGAAGATCACCAAATAACTGAAGTTGGAACAATGAATCTGTTTCTCTACTGGATAAATGAAGACGGAGGTATAGTAACACAACCATAAAAATTTTAAGTAGAACAGTTGGGAATTTAATACACAAAGTAATATATATGAGTGCAAATCATAAATGAAGATGATTTAACAAAATTCAGAAATTATTTTCTGAAAACTAATAGGTAACTAAGTTATACCATTGTGAAAGAGGAGATTCTGGAGCAGCTGTGAGTACTGCCTGCTAATAACTGTTGGGCCAGTCCACATGCTCAGAAGGGTAGAGTGTAACCGTGTACAAGGTCCCACTGCAGGTTTAGTGTCAACTCTAGCAGCATGCTTGATCTTTAGGGAAGTGTTTGGTCTGAAAAATATGGGGATATACTAAAGACACCTTATGGCTGTATAACTGTTCAAACTCTGTGACTTTGAGCATCAGTGGTTGCCATCATCACTTTCTGACAAGTCAGATGTTCCTAAAGGATAGCCAAAAATATTTCACCATCCAACTGATGAAGAACTTACCTCTTCCTTTGAGGAATTTGAAATTCTGTCCAGTGGAGGCAGAGAGAGAGAAACATGACAGTCAGCATCCCACATCACTAATGCTCGAAGATGCTTTCAAGAGATACTATCATTCTTGAAGCCATTTTTACGAATTTGTATCCAGTCATCTCTGAGCAATGTACATGCTGATTAGAAAGCTATCTAGTTAATGAACAGCCAACTATTTAGGCATCTCAAAAATACCCATTAGGCATGCAAGTACTAAGTGCTTGAGAAGTGATAGCTGCACCTGAGAACTGATGGAGAAGATTACATGACTCCTGGTCCTTAGAGGATTAAACCTCTTCACTATAGGCAAGTGAATAAAAGGATACCTCCTGAATTCTGTGAGTGCTGGCCCCCATGCAAATTGTTATTGAATTTTTGCATGGCAGCAGATGGAGGGTTCAGACTCAGATTTCATCATAGTGCCATGGGTACCCTTGAATACTGACATTTGTCTGGCAGTGCTCAGCTGCAGTACAGAGGCAACATTCTTTGGGGACAGCAGTATGTTTTAGATAGTGTAGGGTAATGGGAATCCAGCTACCTGACTCTCATCTCCAGTTTCATTACTTGTTCTTCTGCAAAATGTTTACCATTTTCGTAAGAGGAATGATGCTTATTCAGTGTCGAATGAGCCTGTGATGTCTTGTGAATGAAACTATAAATACGAGAAATCTTGTTGTTGTTACAGCAGCAGTAGATTTGTCAGCATAGCTAGATGGCCAAATTCATGCCTTGTGTAACTTTGCTGGAGAGACACAAAAATAGATTTTGGCTCATTCTGCCCAGGGAAAGGACACTGAAGGGGGGACATAATTAGAATTCAATGTTCTCATTGTACTTAAACCAGGAATATGCTGGAATTATCCAGCTGCAGCACCGTACTGTTCCAAAGATCTGTCAATCACTATGTGACCAGTGCACTACTGAATAGTACTATTGTGAGGTGGCCGTAGCAAACAACTTGTAATTCATGCCACCCAAGCTAACTGTATACTGGCAAACCTGCCATTCCACACGACATGGTCATTAGCATCATTGGAGCACTTTGCTGTCCCCCGGTGTGTTGATTAATGCTTAATTTATGATATCTTTGGTTGAGAAACACTCTTGCTGCCAAAGTGTGTCATCACCTACCTACCTATGGCTTTACATTGTGATTTGCATTTGTCATTATGTTCTGTCACTTCACAAAGGATACTTACTTAAAATGCGGTTTTGTTATGTAAATTACGCAGCTGAGAGAGGGATCTAACATAAAAATAGTGAGGCAGAAACTGCAGATCATCATCAGAAGGAAAATGCCCTTCTTTTTGTGTCCAGAGGTCAGCGCAGAGTAGTCTGAACTGCTCTCCTTGGTTTGCCACAAATTGAAGACCAAAGCTAGACTAAAGAACGTCTATGCTTCCAATGAGAGTAGGCTTTTCTTGCAAGCCTTTGCTATGTAATTTCAGTTACAGCATTATGATTAAACATGACATGTTGTCTTGGGCAGCAGGAGAAGCTTGGAAAAATATTTTGTTTGTAATATCAAGGAGAGAGTAGGGGAAGAAACTACTCAATTTCTGGTAAAATAACATGACATAGTCTATGCTAGTTTTGTATCCCCACTGCTGCTCTGGCATAAATACAGGAGTGTGATATTTTGTTCATCAAACACTGTTTATGGTTTATGTTCACAAAGTGAAAATTTTAGTCACCCTACAGTCCCTTCCACCTACCTCTTCAGAGCACATAAGCTGTTGACATTGAAACTTATTTCCTTTAATAATGCCTGTTCTTTTGCTTAGAATATAGGCTTGACTTTATGGAAAACCTTAAAATTTAAACATATGTCCAACTTGAAGGTTGCTAACTATGAAATCTGTGTGCACTTTCCAAAAACTCACTTTCTTTAAAATGATTTGGAACCATCTGGGCTCTACTTCTAGCTTTAATGTTAAGGCATTGTGAATAGCATTCAGGCATTGCTGAATATTTTTGTGCTGTTATTAAACTTGGGATTAATGGTGCCCACTTCAAAATAGCTTACATAAATTGAAAAATAAACATGTTTAAAAGATTCTCTGGAATGGGCAGGTGAAATATCAGGCAAGATTGATTAGTGTTCTATAGGTAGAGGATTATTTGTGCTGCAGAATTATCTTTTACAAGGAGACGAGTAACAAAGTAAGAATCGTACCTTCTGGGCTAATAGGAAGCGATAGCAATAGCAAGGAGGATAGAGCAGCAAATGAATGAGATGGCAGGCAAAGAAAAGGAGAGGAAAGCAATTGGGGAAAGTAAATTGACAGAGAGACAAAGACAGAGTGATTTCATGAGGGGAGAGTAGAAGAAAAGCCTGAGGGAAATAAGGAGAAAGGAATAGAAACAGAACAAACTGGAAAGGAAGTCAGCTGTTAATAATAGTGAAGCCAAGGTTTCCTGGGTTCTCTTTGACCCTGAAGTTCCCTTCAGTTAAAATATATTTTGGTGTACTTCTCAGCGTTGTTATAGTGTGACTAGTACTGAAGGCATCTCATGCTTGGAATCTTATCTTCTATATGTTCATAAATACAGGTGTGTAAAAATTGAAGCTGTGTAATATGCAAGACCTCATTTTTAAAATCCCTTTAAACTGATGGAGTTCCATTGTTACAGCATGCCTATACCATGCCTGGTTTAATGGAGCACTGGACTTATAGTGCTACTACTGTAACAGTGACAGCAGTCAACTGAAGAGAAACCCTGACATTTTCCTTCAAATACCTTTCCCCCCCTTTTTGCTGCTATACATTTTAAGGCTTCTAGCACATGAAAATAGTTCCGAAGGCAAATGGAGTCTGTGAGCTCAGAGTCTGGGGATTTTTTTGAGATGGACAAACTGATGTCATATGGAGCCTGGTTTGGCATCGCTTCACAGAGAAGATGAGCTTTTTGGCATGCTGTGTTGTATAGCATTATCATCTCTGCCGGATACCAGGGGAGCAGATGTTCCTTGGGTGGCCCCAGGCTGGTAGGCATCATATGTATAGTTGACAAAATTCTACAGAGCAGGCTGTTTGAAACATTTTGAGACTCCCAACGTCCTGTATACTCAAGTGCTGTTTTGTGGCTGGTTTGGCCTGGCACCTTTTCAAACTAGCTCAAATCAATTAATATATGTTATTGAGCTTGAACAGTGTCCTGGCCAAAATCTGTGGCAATATCACACAATAGTAAAAATTTTCTGGTGTGTAGTCACAATCTTTGGTATTAATGTCTACATTATTTGAAGTTTTCTGTTATAGAAGGGGGTGCATTTGTATGTGACTGGGTAACAAATGCAGAATATCAGGTTTTCAGTGTTCAGATTCAGGTGAGCCCTGTGGCTCATGTGAAGTTTTTAAATCCTCTTTTCATGATAGTTGTGCCAGAATTAGGACCAGACACACATTACATTCAGAGTGATGCTAGACAGTCTTCAAGGAAAGAAAGCTATTGTTCCTGACTATGAGAAAGAAGAGACCACTGCTGTGCGTAGGAGTCTGGGATAGGTTAGGGAATCACACTATTGGTTAGTCAAACCAGAGCAGAATATATAGCCTGTTCTAGGACAGTCTTTTTTACATATGTTTTGGCATCCTCATAAAAGGAACATTGAAGCATAGATAGGAAAAACTTCTCGTCCAAAAGAGTAACTCCAGGGGTGGCTACATTAACAACTAACAGACATTTCCAGAGAGGATGGACAGTGAGTAGCAGATCCAGTGAACAATTCAATTTATTTATCCTCCATTTCCCCTACCTCACCCCAACTCATAAAGCCCCCTCTTCCAGAGTGTCGCTGTAGTCAGTCTGGAGCTGTGTATGCATGGCTGGCAGACTGTTTGTGCACAGGACTATCTATCTGACAACAGAGTATAAAGCAGCTGAGCTCACTCAACCTGCTCTCTTGGCCCAAGGATGAATACCATGTTTCTCTCTTGTACCCAGCTGCAAGTTTTCACAGGACCTATAGGAACATTTTAAACACAGTTTTGTCTTTGAGACTGATTCAGACAGGCCTGGATTCAGTGATCTTTTGAAGGTCATAAGGGGGCATAATAAAAACATGAAGATACGTATCTTCTTTTATGTGGCACGGGTATAAAAGAATCAAAAACCTTAATGGTTTGTGTATTTAATGGGCAGGATAGTATCCTTTTAAGATCAAGAAAGGTAATGGAATCTTGTTGGGAAGAGACCATGGTTAGGAAAAAAAAAAATATGAAGAGTAATACAAAAAGACTGAGGATGTCGTAATTTCTCAGTGAAGATTTGAGACTGTCTTAAAAGAACCTGGCTGTCTGAAAGAGTAAATGCTCAGTATTCTCTGATAATAGAAACCACTGGGTATGTGCTATGTGATGATGGCTTAAAATGAAAAAGGTTAACTTTGTTTTGCTGCAAAGGCCAGAGGGAAGAACAAACGCTACATACAAACTTCTGTGTTGTAATTTAAGTACTTACCACATGTGGATTATCATTTATCTATTTTTTTACTAGTTAGATGAACATATATCTAACAACCTTTTTTTGAAAACAAAGAAGAAGAACAAGATAACAAACCAGAATAGTTGAACAATTTGAATTGTTGACACTTCCGGAATTTTAGTAAGACTACTCTTTTTGTGTAAGAGAAAATTAGTGGAAAAAAAGGAAGTCTAGACCAAGACAAAAGATCACTAAGGAAGCCTCCTCTCAGGATGCATTTGGCAAGGTTTCTATTGTTTTGCTTGTTCAGTAAATGGGCCCAAAATTTATGGTAGATGTTTCATATTAATGCTACAAAGTGGGTATAGTGAACCCCTTATTCCTAAGTTCCTTTATTAATGGTGTAATACCAGTAAACATTATTTCTGTTTCTTTGTTTTTCAACCAGTGTTTCTATTTCATTTGTGTTTGACAGAAAATGAGCTGGCAACCCCACCTTTAGATGGCATCATTCTTCCAGGAGTGACAAGACAAAGTATTTTGGATCTGGCATGCAATTGGGTGAGTGTTTTGACCCCGGCAGTGATAGTTTCGACTATCTTGTTACAACATTGATGAAAGTAAGCGTTCCTGATGCTCAGTATTTTGAAGTTCAACTGATCTGATTAAATCAGAATATTTTGGGTGGGAAGGGACCTTCAAAATTCATCTAGACTAACCCCACCTGCAATGAGCATGGACATCTTCAACTAGATAGCGTTGCTCAGAGTGCCATCCAACCTGACCGTGAATGGTTTTCCAGGGATGAGGCATCTACCACCTCTGGACAACTTGTTCCATTATTTCACCACTTTCATTGAAAAAAAAAAATTGTATCTAGTCTGAATCTACACTCTTTTAGTTTAAAACCATTACCTCTTGTCCTATTGCAACAGGCCCTGATGAAAATTTGTCTCCATCTTTCTTGTAAGCCCCTTTAAGTACTAAAATCCCTTAACCTGCGTGGGAACTTAGGGCATGCTAATTCAGATTCCCAGCAACATCATTAGAATACCCACATCTGTCACACAGAACAATACCAAGCTTGTTAAACTATCTCCGTGTAGTATTTAACATGAAAATTCTCATCAAATCCTCTGGTACAAGCAACTTAAATCAAGGAAACAAACAATTACCGTGCATGACCACAGCTATACTTCTGTCATCAGCACACTTTTTCTCCATTTAGTTCTCATGGTTTCACCCTTATTTCTAACAACTAGCATGCAGCCTAAAATCCAGCTACAGTCTTGAAGTCATCTGTCTGCTTCCAGATTCCAGTTCTGCCATGTAGCCATCCAAGAACTTAATTGGACACTTGGGACTACCTCGTATCTTGAAATGCAGCGAACTGTCCACTCTGCCTGTAATATATTCAAAGGTTTTATTGTGGCCTGGATAAAAATACTATAGAGCCAAAGGCGCATCAAGCCCAGTATCCTGTCTCTTGGTTTTGTCCCTTTCCCCCTGATATTAACTCAGCTTCTAAACACCTGTAGCTGAACGACTTCCTGAAGTACAGTTGGCAGTTATGTCACTTAAATTTAACTTGCAGTGAAGAGAGCTAGGCATGTACTTCGTAGCACATGCGTGCCACTTGTTGACCTGCACTGAACTCTTACACATCTTTTTTCATATTGGTATACCCCAAGTGCAGATATGCATGCACACTTCTCAGTCTCATCTCCTTTACAAGACACATATTTCCAGCTGACAGGGCTTATTTGTGAGATACCAGACTCTCACCTCAGTCCTCTTGAATATTTACGTGTCTTCTACTTCACAAAGGTTGTTCTCTTCTTCCTGACCTCCATTCCCTAACCTATCTGAAACTCTGCTTACACGGTGTCCCTGCTCCTCTCTCCAAATACTATCCTGTCCAGAGCTAATAAAGTTTTATGCTATCATAAGCATCTGTTTCATGTTAAAGAACTTGCATATGAAACAATGGCTGAGCTTTAATTTGTCTGATACGACAGTAAAGTCCACATAAATCCATGAAATGAAAATTTCAAAGGTTTATGTTTATTTCTGTTCTTTAAACATGTCCCCTCAATCAGTTGCTATGCACTTTTTAACACTTGTAGAAGGTAAACCACAACTTATGTTAAGACTGTCCAGTGTGAATTGTTTTACTTGTACCTGCAGTACAGTTATTTTTCTTACGTGACAGCTTTCTGCAGGCTACAGTGTAAAATTTCACAAGGGATTAAAGAAATCTATCACATGCAGTTGGCATTGCAGGTGGAATTAACAGAATGTATTTTGCTTACGAATTGGCTGAGAGTGGGATGCAAAGCTTTTTTGACATAACTGAGTAATTTTTGTATGAACTCTAGCATGCTTGAGACTGTAAGCAGTCAGATCCTGTGTTACACAAACCATGACAAATTCTGCTGTGTTATTCCTTTAATGCAATATTGATATTCTGTACCAAATCAGAGAGGAGTGCAACTTAATCATCAGCATTGTATCTGGCAAAGCACTGGCTTCCTCCAAGGTATTTCTTTTGATTAGAATCTATCTCATGTGATACTGGAAGACTTGAAAAGATCATAGGATTACAGCCAAAACTTGACTGATTGGCACTAGGATAATAGTCCTATTAGAGATGTTTCCACATGGAAAACAAAAATACAAACCATTTGTAAAGTTTTTACAATTTTTATGGTTGATTCTTCTCATGCAGGGAGAATTTAAAGTGTCTGAACGATACATCACCATGAGTGATTTGACAGCTGCCTTGGAAGAGGACAGAGTGAAGGAGATGTTTGGTGCTGGAACAGCCTGTGTTGTATGTCCTATCTCTAAAATTTTATATAAAGGCAAGGTAAGAAAATGTGTTTCCCCCCCCCCGCCTTTTTTTTTAAAAAATCCTCTTCTCTCCCCTTCCCCCTCCTGCCTCTCCTTCAGAATTTTATCATAATTAACTGCAGCTTAATTAAAAATAGATAGAAAAGGAAAGCTGCCAGAGGCTCCTGGAAAGATGAAGTGTCAGTATTTTGTTTCCCAAGTGAGTTACTGCTTTGTTGTCAGAAGAGAACTTTCCCTCTTATCTTCTAGGGTATTTTTAAGAGTTACAATCATAAAATCTCAATTTTTTTCAGGTGGGGAGAAGTTCCCAGCTCCAAGCCTCTTTGTAAATATCGAAAAATATATTCTCCCACGTTTCTTTTATTGAACATTTATTTTCAAATAAAGGCACCTGGGAAAGATGAGGAGAGGTGACTTTCACAAGGAACCAAATTTCTGAACCACTGCATTCATTCCTTCTCAACTTCATCTCTTCTTCACCCCTCATTGCAAGGATCCCAGCTCTGATGGAAGAGCTGGAGGTTCAGGAGAGTGCACAGGTGCTTTTACGGGAGATTTCTCCTGCACAGGCGGAATTCCCCAGGCATTCAGACTCTTAAGCTGACTTGATGCTATTTAGCCAGCACAAAGTTAGTTCAGAAGGCTGGATTATTGCAACTGCATATAATATATATATACACATTTATTTAAATTCTTGGTAACCCTAAGGTATTCATATATATAGAAAGCTGGTTTTACATATTATTCTCTCTCTTCCTCCCCTCCCTTCTTTATTCTATGTCAGCACTTGCACATTCCAACTATGGAGAATGGACCTCAGTTAACAACCCGTTTCCTGAATAAGTTGAGTGATATCCAGGTAAGCTGCTTCCTCTTCTTTAACCAGATAAAATAATAAAATGTAGACATTTGAAAACATTGGAAAATAGCCTTTTTAATAGTGGTGCTGTAGGCACCATTATGTAATAATATAGGCTCTTTAGTTTGGTGTGGTTATTCTGTTGATTTTACATTTCTTCCCTTGAGAAAATATGATACAGATGAAGAGTAATGTATTACTTCCCTGTTGATCTTGGAAGACGGATGAGAGATGTAAGATACTATTCTTGTCACTGAAATCCAGTACTGTGTTCTGGGTTCCTTTTTAAGGGAAAAATAGCATTACGAAGCATCTTAATAATCACTATCACAAATGAATATAGGCTAATTAATAAAGAGATGGGTAAAGTAGTAAGCACTCACTGGGCACAACCAACTTCTGTTTCTCAGCATCTTTCCAATCGCATGGTCACTTGTTCTTAAAACAGTTCCTTGCTTCGTGATTTGCTAAATATCAAAGTCTATTTGGAATATGTGCTTGAGCTCCATGCCTGGGCATAGTCAAATACCATTTCAGGTAAATTCAATGAGCAGCACTTTATGGCCCTTCTTGTTTCAGTTGCCTGCTTTCTTTTCCTTATTTAGCATAGTTTATGATGTGGGGGATTTGGGGATAAGAGTAGGTCTTGGCAAGTTACAAGCCCCTTTATTTAAGATCTGATAGCAGCTGCTTGTCATTATTATGATTTCTTCAAATCAAGTCTGATGGTTACTGTTCTGCATTCTTAGCTTTAGCTCAAGATGTTCTTAGATTTGCTGCTAAAATTTTTATCTTCCTGCCAGTAAGCCCTGAACTAAGAATCTTCTTAAAGATTGTGGGGTGTACTGCGCTACAGAACAACTCTATGAATCCCATTAAATAATCAGCACTTTTTAAGAAAGAATCCTAGAATTAATTTTTTTTTCTTTTATTCCTATTCTACAGGCGCTTTACTAGTGTGTAGAAATAATCTTACGCAGGGTACTTCTGATGAGACCCCAGACAAAAACTACTCATGAATTGCAGTCTGCTGTCATATGTTGACTCACCTAAAATCCCATGATAAGCAGGTTCACTTATGCAATGTTACTTATTCAATGTTTTGTGCTATATTGTAGTCCAAGTTTAAATCCATTGCTACTTACTGTGAGTTTTTCTCATTGCAGAGTTAGAGTGAAGCAATCTTAGACAATGAGAAGTCAGGCCATCTGATATTTCACTGTTCTTCTGTACTCTTCTTTCTCTACATATTTTTACCTTTCATAGCTGCTGGTCTCCAGGATAGCTACTTCCCCAACCACTACCACCCCAAGACTTGTAGCTCAAATGATGCAGCAGGACCACCTGACTGTTCTTTATTAGGAAGATGACATCGGATCAGCATGTCTTGTTCTTTAGAATGGTGTTGACATTTCTGACTGCAGCTCAGGGAGGAAAGATTTCCTGATAGTCAGGTATTTTTTCTTATTGATGACTGAGCCAACTTTCATGGGGGCAAAAAGAGATGCTCCCCCATAATGTTTCTGTTGTTTCAGCTGTGCCAACTGTAGTGGGTCTTTCTCTTCAAACAGTAGGACTGATAGCTAGGAAGAAGCAAAGGCACCTTCAGTTCTAGATTTTATTGTTTCTTGATGGGAAAGAGAGGCTTAGTATGCCATGTTCCCAGCTCAGTTGCATGAAACATTTTTGTCATCTTACTGTGCAAGTATACACAGTAACCTGTCTCGAGAATTCCACCACATACCACAGTTTTATTTCATCTTTCTCATCCCAAGTGCCTGATACACCTATCTAAAATAACAGCTGGTGTCCATCACTGTTTTTTATTGTCATATGTCCAGATTTACTATACACTTTTCATTGTGATACATACTGACCACTGTTTTCATAGCTCTATACTCTGTATTAAAGCCATCTCGTTAGTATGTCAAATAGCTATCTCCAGTGTCTAAAAGCACTTGTGTAACTCGTGTGTTACTTTCTGCAATGCTTTTGCAATATATGTTAGGGCTTTCAACAATTTACGATCAGCTGAGTCGCCACTGATCCCTTCTAATTGCAGTTGTAGAACAGCTTGGCATCAGAAAGAGCTGAGGCCAGTTCTAGCACCTTGTGTGTTATTTATGGGAATAGGTAATGCCTTAGCAGTTTGTGTTATGAGACAAGCAAATGCCTTCTCTAGAAGAATGGCTTGTGAAATCCAGAATTCTATTTAAGAAGGCAACACTGGAGTATGTCTATTTCTCCCTTGACTGGTAGATAGTGAGTGGATTATTAAGAAAAATTTATCCAGCCTGCTTCCTCCATGCCCTCCCTGATCACCCTACTTTTCCACCCCCAACCAAGGCTCAGGTGGAGGCTGCAAAAGTGTGAATTACTTCTAACCACTATCTTTCTTGGACCTTTTCACTTTACAACTATGCATATGGACGTTTTTGTCTTTCAACTGTGTACATAAACTGTGTACATACAGTATGTTCAGTAGTTACACACCAAGAGTAAATCCATCACTCTTGGAAAGTGCTGGACTATTATGTGTATGTTTACTTCTAGGTTTTCTTCCTTCTTTAAATGAGCAATTAGAGGTAGAACATTTAATTGTTAAAAACATGATTTTAAGGAGGATGATGGTTACTTCCCCTTTCAAAGTCAATTAGTGGTTGCTGATTATGTTTCTGCACTTTTCTATCTGTGGAAAGATGAGTTTATATCCAAATGGACCCCAGATTGCCAAACAGAAAACAATGCTGCAACGTAAGACATGGAGTATATAATATTCTTAAATGTAAGGGGAGTTTTCAGGATCTTTCACAACGATCTTTTATATATTCTACCAGGAAAGAGAGGGGGGAAAAAAAAATCTCTTATCTCTTTGCAGTATCACTGGACTGTTGTCATATCATTTGGACAGTCTGAGCTTCTTATGCTAGAGAATCTTCAAGTTTTGAAGAAAAAAATGCAATGGAAATTACGGCCAAACACAGCTTTGGTCTCTGTGCTGTGCTGTTGCCTCAACTAGGGTGATATACCTCTTTCACACTGGACAATAGACAGTTGTAAAAAAGTAAAAATTCTCACTACCAACATTATCCTGCAGTTGAACCCGTGACCAAGAGGTGCAGGGCTCCATATCCAGTATCACTGTAATGATTCCCTTGAGTACAATACATGCTTTGTTAACATTTTTCAGTTTGTCTTCATTATTGTGTTTCCAAGTCCGTTTTCATGCTACTCATTGTTCTTTTGCAAGTCTTCTGTATTCAACAGGATTTCTTTGGATTTGAACAGCTGTTCAGTGGAACTAGAGCTAGAGTGACAAATTAGAAACTCATGGGCAGAACTGATTCCATTTCTCATGCCAATTGAGAGAGACAGTAGTAGTACTGCGATATACATTTCCCTTCCTATTACTGAGTAGAAATCATGGTTATGAAAGGCTGATAACGATTTTAGATTAAATCATTTACATTGTATACAGTAATGGTGTGCTTATGAATGAGTTAATGAATTAGTCATAGTACACTGTCTTCTATAACTGCTTGAGCTAGCAGATTTAGAGATGGGATTCTTTTCTCTGGGAATACACTCACTGAAATACCATTCAGATATTTTTGTGGTTTTGCATTCCATGCTTTGAGAATAAACAAGATTTTGCTATACCCTTTAAAGTGTAGATCAGGATGCAACTTGGAAGGAATGGGTAGAAGGCAAGGAATATTGCTTATACTACATGATAGAAAAAACATGTAAACGCTACAGTCAAGACAGCAGTGAACAGATATTTAGACAGAACCCCTATCTTTCTCAAAGTTTTACAATCTAAATGGGTAGGCCAGTGGAAAACAACATGGGAAGGAGATGTATGTGTTAATTTATATCTAATTCCCTTTCCTTGTGGGGAGGGAAGTGAGGGATGGGGCTGATTAGCCTGAGGTCACAAAGTCTTTGACAAAATCAGAAAAGGAAGCTAGATCAGCTTTTATTTCTGGAATGAAAACATCTTGATTGTGGTACAATATCTTCATTCTCCTTTTAATTCTGGAAGCAGGTTCAAATGGCAACTCAGACCAGCCCTTGCGATTTCTAAAGTCAACATCAAAGATGACACTGTTACCTAAAGCCAGCAAGACTTACAAATAATTCCCTGCCTTTGCCTGCTTTCTGATTTGGGGAAATGGGGGTACCACCTTTTCTCTGAAAAGCAGTGATTTTTATTTTCTTTTTCTTTCTCTTTGCCTCTATCCTCAGTGAAACGGTCTAACACGAGGGTAATCCAGTGCTTTGTGGTTAAATTGGCTAGAGGTCCTAAGGCAACCACACTGGCATCTGGGAATGCTGGAAATCCTTTGAACAAGTAATTTGTCCAAGGTCCTATGTAGCACCATACTAGTGTTTAGTCAAACACCCTGCAGATTACAGAATATGATCAGTAGAGTTAGTAATGAAAAGAAACAGTAGATGTGACATACGAAGGTCATTTAGAGACTTTACCTGCTGGAGTAAAGAGTAAAACACAAGCGCACTGAACATCTTTCCTTTTGTGGATCTAGAAGTGTATTTTGCTCGCTTATTCTGATTCAGAGCTGTTGTCCCTGCTTTAATGTCTCTATCTCCTTTCTTGCCAATGCAGGACCTGGATTGGAGTAACTTCCTTTTATCCTCTCTGGAAAAATAACCATCAAGTGATCTTTTCAGTCTACATAAAGCATCTAAAACCAGTCTTTATTCCTTGGTGAAAAGTGTTTTCAAGCTCCCTGAACGTGGTGCTATGAGGGAAAGGGCTCTAAACTTTCACCTGCTGCTAGTCTGTCCACCTCTGCTTTATATATATACTTGATCCATATGTGTATTTTTGAGGCATTCTGGAGCATTGTTTACAGGACTGGTGACAATGAGCTTTAGAACATGGAACCAGTTTAACAAATCAAAGTGCTGCCTTGGGACTGTATCGTCCCCTGGAAGGGATACAGTTCCATGTGGCAAGTTGCCTTCATTTCTGCCTGGTGATCCTGCTGGTTTGTATATGGAAAGACTACTTGTTTTATTTGTGTTACAGTTCTCTCTAATTGTTCTCTGTGGTATTTGTGACGGGGTTTATTTCGCATTCAATCAGAATGCTGTAATAAAAAGCCACCTTGAAAATAAAAAGAAATGAAACCAAATGTGTTTGTTTATTAGAGCTTGAGCGGGGACATACTTATGAATGAATTAATGAACTGACTTCAGGGAATAACTGTATTAAATTGAAGGAAAGCTTTAGTGAAGCAGAACTATTCTGTACCATCCCTGGTGAGTATCGGTATCGCCCCTTCCTAGTCTGTCTATTGGAAGATGGATAAAGTTTCAAGGCGCCTTTAGGCTTTGCTCAAATCTATGACAGAAGTAAAGGCATAAGAAATAATGCAAACTATGATGGATGGCAAATATTAATCTTTCTGAGGATAAAGCTAAGAAGTTATCAATTATACGCTGTTACTTTTAACTTTTATTCTTAAGCTCTGTTTTTCTTTGTTTCAGTATGGAAGAGAAGACAGCGATTGGGCAGTGTTGGTCTCATGAAGGTGGAAGAGTTCAGACCCTCCAGACGGAACAGACATGAATAATGATAACTTCTGTAGCTGTCTGTGCGTAGCATAGTTCCTGTATCCGTTTGTTCCCAGGATGATTGTTTCCACAATCCAGCAAATGTGAACACAATCATTTTGATTTCTACTGTAATCCTGTTGGTAGACACCTGTCTTGGTAGAGGTGCTAAATGTTAGCAATAGAACTCTCCTAATGGTTTTTTTTAGAGCCTCCTTGTGTCTTATCTACAGTCTGAAAACTTGTAAAATGCTCTTCAACTGCTCTTCAGTTTGGTTTGTTTTGACTGCCATCATCAGCAGAGCACCTTGTCATATAACACAAAGATGCCTGTTAGCTGGGCACAGCGTTCTATTGACATTATTCTGCCTTTTGTTTTGTGTTTGGGAAACAATTAAGTTTAGTCATATACTCTTTCCTTTTGTACTCTGCTTGTGTGGAGATCATGAGTTCACATAGTCTTCTAGATCTCCTCATGCATACTTTGTCAAATAATAGCTCTGTCCTCCAGAATAAAATTCTCTGAGTGCAAAATTCTCTAGCCTGCAATATGCTCCCTGTTGACCGTGGCTGCTTGGGCAGTGCGTACCTTTTCAGTAGCTGAATACGTCCTTCCATACATGATTTGAATGGCTGGGTCAGAGCCTGCTGAGACAAGAATGACTCTTTGTCTGGCCCTAGTACAGAGCTGGGCACTGCAGACAGTGTTGCCTTCCAGATGAATGTCTAGAAAATAAGATTAGAGAACTGTGGCTGTGAAAGTCGAAGAACTCCTTCACAGCAACCAAACCTTTGGCTTGAGGAATTTCTTTCATCATCCAGTTACATAATTTAGGTCAGCAAAATATTCTTTTTCCCTTTACGACTCACTGTGAAATATATCCAGCCTCTGTTGACACAGGTGTACCTTAAAAGGGCCTTCCTATTAAGGAATAAGCTATGTTGTCAACAGAAAATACTGAGCATAAGAAGGAAAGAGATTTTATTCAAACCCTGGTTTCATTCTGATGAAGTACATACTACTTCATATAGCACTACTTTCTCACCTACAGTCTTGATACTATTTGGAAGCAATATGGAGCATGCAGCCCATAGCTGGGGAAATTACTTCTGCAAATGTTCACTAACAATCATACTGTAATATTTATTAGCTTTCTCTTTTTGCACACAGCTTTGTTGAACAGCTTTAAGATATCTCTTGCCAAAAAGAATCACCATATTCTGTATCAATGTTCCAAAGTGCTTCTTCAGTGTAAAACTGGTGGAACGTTATTGACACTAATGGAGTCCTATAAGAAGTAAAAGTGAAACATTTATTGCCATAGTTTGCAGTAGAGATGCACCAGGATTAAGGGAGATATTTAGCACTTTATTTTTTTTAAGACCCAGAAGTATCTCTCCTGTGCTTTATAAGTTCTTTGCCATTACTGAGACTTATTAACATAGTTTAAAAAGACATAATTTCTAATAGACCATCCATGCCTTATGCAACTGCTAAAAAGTAGCCTTATGGCTTTCCTGGTTATTTTTGGTCAGATTTTAAAGACAAGTTCTACTTAGCCATCACTTTCTTTTGCTCCCTGAAATCATGGCTTTTACTACCTTTCACTGCAGTCCAATCTGATATTTTAATGAAGAACAGTTGAAGGTTCTCTCTGACAATGTAACCATTGTTAAAATGTGTTGTATAGTTTTCTCTTTAGAATACAACTGCAAGCACAAAATGTTAATTTCACTTACAGTAGCAATAGTATTGTGTGTTGGCTTTTCTGACCATTTGAAACTGTATCGTGTGCTGGTCTTTGTTCAGTAACTTACTATCTATTATAAGCTGCTGGTATCTTTCTTTTTAATTAATTAAATGGGTGGAAAATAAACATGGGGAATATGTCAAGATGCAGTGTGGGGTAGAGAGTTTTATCCAATGAGACAAGTATAACTAAAGAGTGCCTTTAACTAGAGTGTGGCATGGAGCTCTCTAAAGATTATGTAGTGAACAATCACAGGTGGCTTGCCTTTACTGAACTATATAATATGTCCTCTTATGTTCATCTTAGATTTAGCAGCAAATGAAGAGAAGTGGAAATATCTAACTCAAGATCTATGGCAAAGTAGTTGTATACCATAAGAGCTCAGGATGTTGATAGCGTTGACAGGTATCATATTAAAAATCTCCATGAAGGCATCAGTATACTAGCAGTAATCTATTTATCAGTCAGAATGAATAAGGACCGTAATTATTTAATGTGGCGTAAACCTAAAAATTGTGTCAAACTCTTCTTAAATTGGATGCAAGTAATTTATTGTGAGGAGGCTAGGTGTTTTCATTTATTGTGGTTTGCACTGTTTCCTGCACTGACCAGAGACACCTTTCCCTTTACTGAACATTTTGAGTTGATGGACACTTCAAAATGATGCGAGTTGAATCTGAAATGACCCACAGAAATGCTTAGACTTTTCTAGCAAGGAAGCATGAAAACACGTAGCGTGTGTATGTTAATTCTTGTCTTTAACATCTTGGTTAAATGGGATCCAGGTGAATAAGTTCTAGATTTTAAACTTTAAAACCTAAATAAGGGAGCTGACAGGCCAGTATAATACATGAAATTCTTCTGATATTGCATGCTGTCCTATGCTGCATTCTATCATTGCTTTCTTATCCTGTTAACCAAAGCAAAGAAATAATATGTGTAAATAATAGTGAGTATTTGCTACTGCACTCCCCTGTTTTTGCCTGTAAAAATTAGGAGGGAACTGTGGTATTCCCTAAGCTAATAATAGTTTGTAAAAGAACATCTGCACATCTTTTCTCCATGTGCCCTGTTGGTTTAATTGCCACAGATTTACATAGAAAGAGTATGGTACATCATAACTAGGCAATTATCCATTCTTCATCACTTAGTTATGGCTCTGCTAATTGATCATTTAAGACATTAGATAGTCTAACATTAGGAGAATTTGAGACTATTCAAAAAAGATCAACAAATTAATATTGTTTTGTGATATTTGCATAATTGACTGCAATTATTTAATGTTTAATTGGATTGATCAGATGAGATTCAGCCTTTCACATGCTTATGTTTTACAAACACTGCTACTTTAAAATGATAATAACAAACTCCCAATTTTCGTATGGTCTTTCTTCTCCCCTTCATTCTTTTGATGATTATTTTCAGTACTGAGCATCTCTTTAATTTTCAGTTTGGTGAGCATGATTCATGTGTAGGAAAAGTCCTTCAGATGAGAGAACTTTTCATGAAACTGGCATTTCATACAAGCTGTTCTGATGCCAAGACTTAGGGCTTCAGCAACTGACATTACTTTACTAGATTCTTAACTGCAATAAGGGCAAATTCACTGAGAATTTACAGTGATAGACTCTGGTGAGAATGCTAATAAAGCTTCCTGCTTAGGGTAGATAATCTGTTCAGTCCATAGAAGTGGAAAGCAAACATTATTTTTTTCTGGGATATAGAAGGGAAGTCTGATAAGACAAAAGCAAGACAGTGAGAGCTCTCTCTGCCCAGCCGTTATTCACACCTGTTCAATTATCTCAAGCTAAAAAGCAGTTGACCTCCTCTTTCTAGATAAACTCTTGTTTAGGGTTTGCCTAATTCAGAGAGATATCGTTGATCCCCTCCTGTATACTTATTTTATATTTATTTTTCCTTGGCCATGAAGAACGGTTAGTTTGGGAAAATGTGATATTTGAAAGGTTCATTTGGAGTGCAAGTTATTTGAAATGTCTATCTAATATGTGGTCTTCCAAAGAGGAAGACTGAAAAACAGTTGGAACTGATGTCATAGATACCTATGTAGAGGAGGAACCCCTCTTGAATTCAGTGGCCTCTGCCTGTAGACAGTGCCTTGCTACAAAATAGAATACAGAGATGGTAGCACAGTCTGCCAGACTATGTATGGCACATTGGCTCTCTCTGCATGGGATTCACCCTACTGATGGTAAATTTTAATATTCTAATGGCAGGCTTGTATACTGAGAGGTGGGCAGGTGTAAATGATGGCTGAGCATGACCTGAGGTGGGCTGTTCATTGCTGTCTTTCCCTTTCACACAGACTTGCAGCCTCTTTTCCTCAGCATCCTATCATGATGCCACTTATACTCCTATCTAAAAGTGACTATTTAAGCAAATTTTGCATTGTGTTTTGCTTTCAGCAGTAGTGAATTAAAAAAAAGAAGGCGTTTTGGTCATCTTGTACATGTTCAGGGGTCAGATTTGCACTTTACCACCTGCATATGTAATGCCTGAACAGACAGACTGCCACTGACTTCGTGTCCCTGGACAAGTTATCATCTAACTTCCTTTTAAGTGCAGAGTAGTAGTGCTACCACTTATACCACTTTTAACTCTAATCCAGACTTTTACATGAAAAGTTATTTTACTGCAGATCACATAAGCTTTCCAGAAAGCTTTGTAAGCAGCAGAGAAAGATACTGTGTAAAGTCCAGTATTTGAAGGATTGCTTTAGAGTAACTGTATCTTGATTATGCAGGAGAAAAATGTTACTCATGTAAGAAATATGTTTAAGGCTTTCTGTATGAAGCCAGAAACAAGTAAAATTTGTAGTTCAAGGTATAAAGTAGCATACAGAAAAATCTTGAAATGAGAATTCACCTCCACCTCTCAGACAATGCTATCTTATTTAAAAGTGATGCTTGAGGGAAGTATTGCACCTCTCAATGTAGAGGCATTAGATTACAACCATTCTAGAGGTGCACTTTGTCATGCAGCACTGAGACAGACCTTTATCAGTTGTGACTACAGTTTTCTGAACTGCAGTATTTAGCAGTTGAGAAGTGTCAAAGAGTTGTGGTTTACTGTATTTTGTCACTATCCTCAAGATTTGGAAAAATAATTTGTAGGTCCTGAATTATTTAAGCTAAGTAACTTCTTAATAAGTATTTGTAGGTTTAGTCATAATAGCAAAATAGAGTATTGGTATTGCACTAGTGAGAAATACTTTTGTAGCAATCCTTCTGTCCATCCCTTGCTTTAAACATGGTCATTACCAGTGGGACTTTCAGGATATTTCCCCTGACTATGCAAGAATCTGAGTGCCAACCATAGCACACTTGGCAAATATATCCCCAACTCCATAAACAAAGCTAACTTAGCCATTACCTTCAGGTAGAACAGTCATGTACATTAGGGCTTAGCAGGTATAGAGCAATACTGAACTAGAATAAGTCAATCCTTAGATGTGAAATAAAATTTTGGCATTAGTAGCTCAGGTTCTCATTAACCACACTAGCAAGGTCAACCACACCCAAATTTACTAAAAATTAAGGTTTTTAAATTTACTAGTAGTAACAGCATGGCTAGATCCTTGTCCGTCTCTCTGAACATGACTTTATACTGTTTGATTATCTTAAAACTCAATTTA